TATAGTAGACGAAAATATTTAGTGGGTTTATGACTTCATACCAACTCACCTCCCATTATAATTCAATAGGCCATCACAGCCGGATGTCTTAAACCCGCTTACTGATAACTAGGGCCCGGATTTTAGGTCACAAAAAATGAGGAAAAAGACACCTAAAATAGGCTCTAAAAAACTTCAAATTAGGTTATAAAAATGTTGAAATAGGTTCAAATAGTTTGATACCAAACTGAAATCTTCAAAATTTCAAAGCAACTAAAACAATGTTTTTTTAGTCTTTATATTGTTTAACAATTATTCACAATATTAATTAACATAATACATATATTTAATTATTTAAGGATTTGAATACAATAATACTACATAAAATAATTTATTCAAACGAGCAATCGCATGACAAACTATACATCGGTCTAGATTTTCACGTCATTGATGTGCTGTTATCTGTTAAAATATTTTTTAAACATGAAAAAGATCTTTCTACCTCAACTGATGTAATTGGAGCAATTGCACATTTCCAAATTATATTCCCGGTTTGTTGTCCTAGAAGGAGATAGTTGGTATAATAAACATTGACGCAATGGGTTCTTTACGTTCTTTTTGTTAATATCTCCTCGTTCCTGCTATACCAAATGAGACATCTTTTCACACATAAACTTGAATATTTAACATTAAAATTAAAATATAGTATGTTACTTTTTAAATAACAACAAATTGATGAAAATCGTAATTATTGTAAGATCGTTTTAACTGCGTATTAATAAAATTTTATGACATAATTAGGATTATTTGGTTGACAATGCCGAATCGGCTTTTCGCATTAGGGTCCTTGTGAACTTGTAAGCCATGTCGCGTGCTTACAGAATTTCCTGTATTGCCCCAAGCAAACGGTGTTTGGCGGTCGTGCCTGTATAATTTATGGTTTGAGAGTGCTGCGGGTGAGTTCTTTGACTAAAATTGTAAAATATTGTTAGTATGTATTTAAAGTGATCTTAGTATACATGCTTACCACTTTGTCACATACAACAGAATAATCCGCTGGCATCTTTAGCAATTTGATACATATTGGCTTGTTGCCATCATCCACGGATTTGAGCCAATGGTTAATCTTAATCGTGTTAAAGGTTTTTTCTTTAGGCATCACGATACTTAAGAATATTTCACAAGTGAACACCAAACTTACACCACGACACAATTTTAACTGAACGTCAGAAATATGAGAAGTGGTATTAGCAGAAGTGCATTTATAAAAGAACTAATAAAAATATGTTATAAACTTGTTTGTAATATAAAGTATTACAATCGAAAGCAAAGGCGCAATACGTCTTTCAAAGAGCTGCCGCAGTTTATTGGTGTTGTTTCCTGGAAAGGTCTGCTTTCGGCTCACCCATTATGTGGATGTTCGTGAAATTACCGCAAAACAGCAAGTTTAGGACGTTTAGTAATAATAATTACGAATAATTGTTATTAGTATTGTATGTTACGAGTATGTTTAAATTTTAGTTTATTTGGCTTCTGTTGACTTGATGCCACCTCCTCTTCCCCCTGGATTGACCGATAGTGCTGATAATACTACTGTATCAGCAGAAGGTAAGGGTTTATTTCCTCCGAGGTTCAGTAATAAATAATTATTATTCTATTTTAGAACCATAATCTTATTTATAAGCACCCAAATGCGGGCTTAAATTGGCCTTTTTAGCACAAATCTGTCAAAAATTGCTAAGCAACAATTGATTGTTCATTTACACTAATCAATTAATTATTCAAACACGCTTCGATATTCAACGTTTTTCTTAAGTTGGAAAAATAATACTTTATCAAATCATTACCTGACCGAGTTCAAATTCTTCTAAACTTTCATTTGAATAAAGGTTTTCCGCTTCTTTAATTTACATTTTGAAAAACGAATTATCAAATAATCAACGTGGTATCCATAACAACATCAAAATAATAGCCAGCTATGTATTAAAATTCGCATCGGCACAATTCACACAGTCTTGCCGAAAATACTCAATATTTCGTTAAAAATAGTTTAGAAACTAAAATAGAATAAAACGTTGTATGTACCACGTGCATAATTGTCGATTGTGGCACTCGGGAAATTAAAAGCCCTCCTTCGTCGGGCTTTAAACATTCCCTCGTGCCACAATCTCCCTGATTATGCCCTTAATACATAAATAACTATTATCTTTGCAGCATTAGATAATCAAAATAATCAGCATAATACATGTAAGGTTTAAACTTACCTTCAATTAAAACACCATATTTGTTATGTTTCTTTACAGATTTATAAGGAGAGAGCGGATTTCTAGGTTTAATGCTTTTTGTGAAAAATGTAAGCACTTCAAAACTTTTTTATATCTGTAACTATGATACAATTTGGAGTCATTTGACACACTTGTTTTTATGCTTATTTGCTTTTTTTTAAATTTTATGCATATTAAAACTTATATGCTTATTTAATGCTTTTTTCGACGAATATGAGTTTTAATGCATATTTTGTTCAAATGCTGGCCTTGTCGGGATGACAAATACTTGTTAGTTAGCCGTATCGTATCGTATCGTATGCATTTTACCTGGACTTGACCATTGAAGTACACTTACTCAAGACCCTTTCTGTGAATAGGTTCCGGTCGTTTGGGTAATAAAATTTTATTATAGGATTGGAAAAATACTCCATAGATTTTATGACTTTAAATCTTTACTTCCGTTGATAATGAATTAAAGCTTTTAACCAGATGTTTTTTTTCGGCATTTTGCGGCAAGACTGTTGAAGATTTTCTAGAAAAAAGGATTATTGTACCCAACTACCTACCTTAAAATTTTTCTAATGGAAACTTTTAAGTAAATGAACCGTTTATTTCACAACCATCAATCTATCGCATCTGTCGTAGTACAGTGCTATACGTGCTTCTCCCTTGTTACATGTTGAGTTCTTTTTGGTAATATTACTAATATTTCAAAAGAATGCCGAAAGTAAAATCGACGCCGGATGAATGGATAAGGGATTTTCCAGAATTAAAATTAGAAAACAACAAAATATTCTGCAGAGCTTGTGTGAAAACCGTAAGCCCACTAATTTTTTTAAATCTATTTTCCTTTGTTAATCCTGTATATGTACGTTGTTTTAGATTCAAAGTGATAAAAAATATAACGTGACGCAACATGTCAGAACGACTCTTCGTGTAGAAAGGAAGACAATGTTTGAAGTTTCTAAAATTAAACAGCAGACCATACACGAATCTATTGCATCTACTTCCACAAAAGATGAGAAGTTTCAGTTTAATTTCGGTTTATGTAAAATGATGATATAATTATTTATGGTTCGCTGTCGATGAAACAACCGATAGTTGTGGAAGATACGTGGCAAGTTTAATTTTTGGAATCTTAAATGAAAATTTCCCTAGTCGAGGGTATGTAGTAAGTTTGAAAATGTTAGATAAAACAATACGATTACCAGATTTGTAAATGACAGTCTTACGTCACTATTTTTGCCAAATGCCGTACTGGCGAATAAAATTTTATTGATGATCTCGGATGCAGCTCGTTATATGTTGAAAGCAGGGAATAATCTAAAAATAGGGTACCCCAATTTAATTCACTCTACTTGCATTGCCCACGGTTTAAACAGAGTGGCTGAAAGAATACGTTTGCAGTTTCCTACTGTTTATAAATTACTGGCAAATGGTAAAAAGATTTTTGTTAAAGCCTCACTAAGAGTGCAACATTTTAAGGAAAAATTTCCAAACATACCATTGGCTCCAGAGCCGATTATAGCGGGGTGGGGAACATGGTTACAGGCCACATTTTATTATGACAAATATATCAAAGAATTTGAGGAAGTAGTTACGGAGTTTAGCGAAGATTCTTCTCAATCGATTAAAGATATATACTTCTATACTTCTATACTTATATTGTAAAGCTGAAGATTTTGTTTGGTTGAACGCGCTAATAATAATAATAATAATAATAATACTTTATTTCCAACGGGTTTACACCCAATAACAGGAAATTTATATGTATTAAAATAACTGAAAAAAAAAACTATACGTGCGAATACAAAGAAAAATAACTTAAATATAATTCTTAGTCTATCAGCCGGTTTGAACTTAATTAATACTGTTGAAAAAAAGAAAAAGAAAAAAACAATAGATAAAGTCAAATCAGATATTTCAGCACTCTAACTTAACAGCACAGCACAGAATCCACTGCAAAGTGTCAGAATTTATGTCACATAAATGGCAAATTCGATTAAACGTCCTACACATAATTGGAATTGGAGATTTAGCCATAACATTTGACTTTGGTGTACAGCAGTAGAATGTAAGAACATGGCGCATATTCAATCTAGGTAAACAAAAAGTAATATTGGCCAAAAGCCACGCACAGTCAACTTGATTATTTAAAAGTTTATACAAAAACTTTACTACTATAATGTTACGTCGCTTTGCTAATGATAAAAATTGAAATTTACTTAACAACAATTCATGATTACATCCCCTTTCTGGATATTGCCTGTCAGTCAAGAAGGACAAAAACTTAAGATAGGTTCTTTGTACGGATTCAAGTTGATGTATATATAAATAGGATACCAAATTAAGACGCCATACTCTAACCTAGACCTAATTAGAGAAAAATATAATGTGTTTAATACAGTAACATTTTTAAAGTTTTTACAGTTCCGATAAATGAATCCGTACAGCTTAAACGATTTTGAAACAATTTCTTCTATATGAAAGTTAAATGTTAATTTGGAATCAAATAATATGCCCAAATCCTTAACTTTGCCAACTCGTTCCAGTATAGTACCATTTATAGAGTAGCTATGTATCAAAGGGGCAGATTTCCTGGTATAGGTAACTATATAACACTTTCGTTTATTAAATTTTAATCTATTGTTGTCACTCCATGTTGTAAGGGAATCTATATCAAGCTGTAATTTGTTACAGTCCTCCTGACTATTAATCTGACAAAATATTTTTAAATCATCTGCGAATAAAAGCTTATTTGTTGCTATGACTTCCGTGATGTCGTTTATGAATAATAAAAATAGCAGTGGACCTAGGTTCGATCCCTGCGGAACACCCGATGTGGCAATGTAATGACTGGAAAAAAAATTTTGATATTTAACACGTTGTTTTCGATTTCGCAAATATGATTGGAATAACAGAAGAAGTTTGTTTGAAAAACCAAGAAGATCTAGCTTTTTAATCAGTAAGTGGTGGTCAATTTGGTCGAAAGCTTTATGAAAATCCATATAGATAACATCCAATTGACCATGGTTGTCAATAGCAGAAGCTGTGACTTGACTGATACATGCCAAATTGGACACAGTGGACCTCTGTTCAATAAAGCCATGTTGATGATCTGAAATTAGGTGTTTTATGCAAGGGTAAATACTTTTGTATAGGACTGTTTCGAATATTTTTGCAAAATTGCATATAAGGGAAATAGGACGATAGTTCTCTATTTCAGTAGAATCCCCTTTTTTTAGAACCGGGCAAACACAAGCCATTTTCCACATTTCTGGAAATGTAGAAGTTGTCAGAATCAAATTAAATAATTTAAACAAGGGTTTTACAAATACAATAGCACAGTCCTTAAGTAAAAAACTAGGAATACCGTCAGCTCCTTGCGCGAAGGAATTCTTGCTTTGCTTTAATACCTTTAAGATTAGATCTTCTGATACATTAGTGATTGAAATCAAAGAATTATTTGAAAGAATACTATTCAAAGTGGAGTTATCATAAGCCGGGGTGGAAAAAACGTTCTCAAAATAACTCGCAAAAGCATTGACTATAGTTATTGGAGCAGTAAGTTCTTGGTCTTCGTAGTGCATTAAACTTGGAATACGTGTTACCCCTTTCTTCATGTGGACATATGACCAAAATTTTTTTGGATCTTTAGAAATGGAATACTCTATATCGGACATATACCTTTTGTAGGCTTCCGCAATTCGACTTTTACAACGTGAACGGCAATCTTTAAATAAATTATAATAATACGTCGATCTGAATTTTTTATACTTTTTGTGCAAAGCGAACTTCATACGAATACACTGAATAATTTCTTTATTATACCATGGAGGATAGTTGTAGCGGTGGTTTTTATATCTCATTTTCGGTACAGTAGTATCAAATACGTCATTTAATTTCTCATAAAATAGTGAGCAAGCCGTATTGACGTCTGCTTGTTCATTTAAGAAACTCCAATCTGTAGAGACTAACATCTGATACATAACAGAAAAGTTCGCTTTCTTAAAATTAAAAACTTCATAATGATCATTCATTTCAAATAGTTCATAATTTGAGTGATTACTAACAAATTCGAAGTCTAATGCGGGATGGTGGGAATCATTGGATTTGTTAACTATGATTTGAAAGTCAGAGAATATCAGATCTAAAATACGATTGTGGCTGTTTAATATAGAGTTGTATTGAGTAAAGTTGTGAAAATCTTTAAAGTTATTTAAGGTAGTTTTAAATCTATCAGGCAATTCTGTATTGAAGTATGGCGTATTAAAGTCACCTATTAAGAGAACATTTTCATTATGACATAAATCAAATTCATTAAGAATAGTAAAAAATTGCTCATACACATCAAAACTGATAGATGGAGGAATATAGACTACAAAAATGTAGAAGTTCTTTTGTGAAATGTTGACTTTTACGCCTAGTATGTCTATCAATGGTATAATAGAAGTTATGTGTGTTAAATCAATAGGTGAACATTTAAATTTGTTTTTAATAGCGAGAACGACTCCTCCACCTTTGGTACATTTAAGGGTTTCAAAGCTCCGATCTTTGCGAAATACAATGTAATCATTAGAGAAAAGTTCATTATCAGAAATATCTGGAGAAAGCCAGGTTTCAGTGAGTGCTAATAAATCATAACTGGTTGATGTAAGATGATTAAAAAAGTTTACAGTTTTAGACCTTAATCCGCGTACATTTTGATAATAGCCATAAGTCATAGTACTGTCACTGGGTGTCGATGTTAGTTTAACGACACTATTCGAGGAATATCATTTTTATACACCATTTTAAGATTAGTTTCCCCATTTTGTGTACGTCCATCAAGTTGTTGCTTTAGTCCTCTATAAAATTCTTGTTGCCTTGGTGTTTTGTCTGAGAACATATGACATGTTTTGAATCTCTCAACAGATTTGAGTTTTCTAGCGGAACGCAATAAACTGACAGCCTCAGATTCATCATTTAATATAACTTTGATAGGACGACTGCGCTGATGGTCCGCTGGCGGTTGTCTCCCTAGTCTAATGACTTTCATTTCATTCCCACTAAAATCTGGCGTCAATGATTTCAACATATCCAAAACTACTTCACTGTCTGATTTATTCTCAGGGTTAGAGTTGTTCTCTGAAAGCTCAGGGATACCGACAATCATGATATTTTTTTTTTCTTTTCTGGCGTTCATTTATTTCCTCAATAACTTCTTCAAAAGAGAAAGATGGTTCAGGTTGCTTAACATGATTTAGTGATGTTTTTATCTCGGCAATTTGGTCACTCACTTGAGTTTCCATTTCTAATAATTGTTGGCTAAAATCATTTTTAAGGGTAGTCATGAGATTACTTAATTCTTTAAACTGCAAAAATCTATTATTGCAAGGGGTACATAACACTTTAACGGATTTGGATTTCGATCGAGTTCTTACAATTTCAGATTCAGAAAGTCCTGTACAACTAGTATGTATTACTCCTTGGCACCCATCACATTCAGACATTGGGTTTAATGACAAGATTACAATTTAAGCAGGTGCTCATTTTGTAATAATACAGATAAACAAATAATAAGAAAAGTAACCTAATTCAGGTGCAGATGGAATGAGACAGGGGCACAAATTCTTCACGCTTTGCGGTCTTTCAAAGCGACTGTATATAACATACACTGATAGACCACGGTAAGGACATAAAAGAAACACTGGATAAGATATCACAATCAGTAATAGATAGAGATGGACCTTAATTAGCAAGTAAGTCGCTATTTCCATGTAATTACGAAAATAAAGCGCAAAATTAACATTACCACCCTGTACTCCTTAACTAGCACTTCAAAATGAAGCCAGTTACACAAATTAGTTCCAGATATAAACCACTTAAACCACTGAAATAAAGCAGAATCAAGAGACACGTATGCACATTAGATTATTCTTCTTCTTTTAATCTCAGAAACTACTGGTTCGAATTCAAAAAATCTTTTTGTGTTGGATAGTCTATTTATCGTATCTACATATAGGCTATATAACATCACGCTACGATCAATAGGAGCGAACTAGCAATGAAAAACTCGGAAAAACGGGAAAATGATTCCTCCTTTGACAGCTTCCGTTGTTTACGCTGCTTAAACGGTTAAAGTTACGTAAAAATCATGTATGACGAAATTGTTCCCCTCTAAAAGTTCTAAAGAAAAGTCCGCGACAGCATATGTCTATATTTTAAGGTCGACTCGGTATAACCGTTTTTATGGTAATGAAATTTGTTCTAAAATAATAATGCATCTATATAAATAAAAATGAATCGCCGAAATGTATAAACGCGCATAACTTCAGAACGACTGCACTAAATTGGATGATTCTTTTTTTGTGTTCTTTATTGTCAGGACAAGCTTTGTATATAAGACAATTTATAAAAAATAAGACAGCTAAAAAATCAAAAAATTGTAAAAATTTTGTATGGGAATCGCCACTTCGAATTAATTTCAATAGTTTCTGCGTTCCTGACGGACCTGTTGCCTAACTGAGGTGTCATACAAAACTATTTCTTCCGTGCGATTGTGAAAAGTATATTGCATTTCAAATCGTTGTTTGTTTTTTCGTAAAAAAAATGTCGTTTATTTTAAGAAAAGTCTTCGTTAAAGTGAATTTAGTTACACATTGCGAAAGTTTCTTATAAATTTTGATCTGCCATTCTATTTACCTATATTCACTTTGTTGGTTTCGACAAAACCTCAACCTTTACCGATTTCGAGGATTTAATTTGAAGATTTCAATATTTTAAAATTCTTAAGACAAAATTTACAGATTTGATTGACTGTGAAAATAATTCTGTGTCATCTTATGAAGTTCATTACAATGCCAAGAAGACGACAAGCTGACATAGGTCCACGAAGTCAATCAAATGTGCGACGAACTACCTCAGGTGCAAATCGCAATGATTTATTTCATGGATAATTCGGATACGGAAGTTGATCAGCGTTGTGCTCATAATCAACATAATCAAACATTGAAGCGAGATATTGGGTGGTATGAATAAAACTGAGCAGATACTCATATTCGAAGTACGAAGTACCTACTTCATTATTACTCTTATACAGGGTGACTGCGAAATATGTGCAAATATTTTAACCACGGCATCCCCCACCCTAGTAGAGCCGAAATATAGAAAAAACAAATTAAATATCGAATGGGGCAAAACCCCCATGAACCACCCTCGATACGAAGGCACTGAGCCACCTTGTAAACAAAGTTGGAAAAACGTTCGAATAAAAGCGACCTAAACACTTTCAGTTTCAATTAAAAGTAAAACCTACTTTTTGCTGCTTATCATTCGTTCATTCATTTACTCATTCATCGTTAAAGGTCAGTGTGAAAGTTTTTTGGTAATTTTGATTCTGACGGATGTTTGGTCCTTGTCACAACGATTTTACATTGTTTATTGGAACAGAAATAAGAGCAAATTAGAATGCTACTACCTTTTTACAAGAAATGTTGAAAATGTTGTCCTTGACTAGCAATACAGGCGTCAGAGCGTCGCAAGAGGTTTATTGATAGGTAAAAAAACACCGGAGTAGCGGCTGCCACTTTCACTTGTTGAAGTTCTTCGATAATTTCTGAACAATGTTGATTTCCACAAACGAATTGTTTCATCCAACCAATACACGTTTCTCGAAAACCGTTTCTTGAAATCGTACTTGTTGACGAGTATGTGGAGTTCCATCGGACAAAAAGTGAGTTACACAACGTGGACAATCAGCGGGCTCCAAACCGTGCACTTTGTCAACATGGTATGGATGTGACCGTGTTCTTTTTTTTAATGTAGGATGCACTACAAGCTGCGAAAATCCAATTTCTTCTTTCTGTCCCATCACGACCACGATCGTGAGTTTGAGGTTGAAGGTACCTTGATCTCGGAGATGCTGTACCACTGATGCAAATGTTCGCACACACAAATTACCATATCGACACGCTCTGCATTGGAAAACATTGGAAAACTCTACCATACACCGATTTCAACGACCGCTCGATAATCACTGGCCCTTTTCGTGTTTTTCACGTTGCGATTTAAAAAGTGCCTGATAAAGTAACTTTTTTGGTTCTTAAACCGAGCCGCCTGCCATTCATTGCAGTAATTATGTAGGTCACGAAACATTACCAGCGGCGCGTATAACAATTTACATTTAATTTCAAATAATTTTTTCTAGACACTGCTACCACTTGGACCGTGAATTTTTGCCAGTGACATAATCATATTGTGACCTATTCCCCATTTTTTTTTTGCATGTATTTCGCAGTCAGCCTGTATACCTGAGCATCTACTCTATGTACTGAGTACCTACTTGGAAACATTGTATCTCCCCGGACACGAATTGAACATCTACCTACGAGTTTTGTGAGCATTTAATCTAAAAATGAGCATCGGCGTGGTAAATGACTGAGCTGTCTGTAAAGCAGCTTAGAAAACGAGTAGGATCGTTGTAAGAGTGAATTTTAACTAAACATGGCGACTTTCATGAACGTGGAACGTCGTCAATAGGTGCATTCAGTGTGAGAAACACATTAGGAGTGGAAATATCGAAAACTTTTCAGGTAATTAATTTTTATTTATGCATAAATTGTGCAGTGCGTTTTTTCTAACACTGGCCATAGAGATTCCCATCTCAAGGTGTCTACCCCATACTAACTTATATTTTGGTGACTCGATTTTTGCCTTGATGGTTGAACACTGTCATTGTTTTCCTTTTTTGTTGTATCAAGATGCTACTTGAGCATCAACTGTTACCTATTTGCATCATCTAGAAAAACTAGAAATATTTTGATTTGATATTCGAGTAGATAGTTCGTATTTCGAGTATGAGTATCTACTGAGTTTTATTTATATTAACCATTGTCAAAAAATTGATCGACCGTTGTTTCGACAGAACTTCCTTCGCACCAAAAGTATAATGAAACATATTCAGCATTTTCGAGTTGAGTCTTTTGTTCACACAATTTTGTGATGACCTAATCAACATTTACGATCAACACGTATACCACCTTGGATTGGTGCAGTGTAATACTAAAAATAACTGTATTTTATTCCCAAAATTATCTGCGAAAATTGAGTGAGCCGTTCCATCAATTTTTTGGGGGGGAATAAATAAATATTCTTAACAATTTACCATGCTTACAATAACTTTAAAACGTCGGCAAGATTTCAAAGTATTCATTTCTGCAACTCTTGAGTTATTCTTGAAAATAAATTGACTGATCCATACATTTTTTTGAGTCACTGTAAAAGCAAATCTAAAAAATATGAATTCAAAGATAAATTACGAAAATATACTGATGATATTTTGCACATTTTAGATAGGATTTATTCGGCAAAATTTTGAGATGATGTCATCAAGTTTTTGGGCTTGATAAACAGTTATATTTTGATTAAAAACCTACCATGTCAAACAGTAACTTCAAAACGTGTGGAATATTTCAAAATTCAGTTTTGCAATTCTTGATTCAATCAATAAAATAAATTGACTCAGTGTTTAATTTTTTTGAGACACCCCCTATAAGCAAAACTAAAAAATATGAATGGAATGATAAATCACAAGTATAGTCATCCTTATCCAATTTTGGACATTTTAGATAGGATTCATTTGGCAAAATTTTTGGAAGGAATAAGTAAATATATTTTGAATAAAAATGTATTATGCTTATCATATGTTTAAAACATCTGCAAGATTTCAACGCATTCGGTTTTG